ACGACATTCAGGGAAAAGACATAACCAAAGATTCGGTCCATTACAATTACAATCATTGCACTTATTATTATATCTGTCTTTTTGAGAAACTACACTTTCGATATAGGAAAGATCGCCATGGTTAGCGATATGAGGACAATTCCTTGCTACGACTGGCATTTTGAATTTATAGATTTCCCTTCTCCAGCTTGAATCGATTAAGGGGCACTGAATGACACATATGACTTATCTTCTAACATTTATAGAAAATTTAGGCTATGTTCTGCTCATGTTGACGTTCCAATCGTTTTCTAACCTGCTCCAAACACGTCTCACTCGAATATGATCGAGGATTCACCATAAAAATGATTATCATTGAAGGCATGAGATCCAAATTCTCAATAAATAAGAAACCATAGAAGATACATTGGTGATGATAACGTAGACATTTCCTATTGGTTGATATTTTATATTTCAAAAACATGGCGGAATTTATATCGTTTTGTGTCTTCAATATTTTATTATTTCAAGATTGTGTTTTTCCATATATTTTTCCATCCAAAATCTTTTATTGTCATTAAATAATTTTCTTATCGTAAAAATTGTATCATGTTTTTAAATCAATTGTTTAAATTGTATGAATCATGTTTACGAACGCCATGATATATTTCTAAATTCTGATAACATTGTTGATCTCTTTAGAAATACAGTTCGTGGTTCAATCCAAATACACACGCCGCTAGACGGACAGTCCAATTTTTTCCTTTTTACCAAACTGTCTAAGTTTTAGATTAACAACGAGTAATATCGCACATGGATTAATAATTTTCAGTGAATGTTAATTATTCCATGTGTATTTATATTGAATAAAAAGTAAAAGTAAATATACTTTTCGAAAAAACAATTATTTAGGTAATTTTTTTAACGTAACACTTATTCGTGACATAAAATTAATCTACAACGTGACCTTTATATATCATAAAATAAAAATTTTATGATTATAAAAAATTATTAAAAAAGTATCATATATATTTTAATAATATACAAAGAATATTTTTTATTAATATTTTATGATATAGAAATATATTTTAATAATCTGATGCAATATGTTATGTATATGTTATATTGTATGTGCATTTAAATTGATATAAATTATTTATTTATTTTTAGTAAAATGGTGTTATCTTGTCGATTTTATAAAGAAAAATATCCAGAAGTGGAGGATGTAGTTATGGTAAATGTACGAAGTATAGCTGAAATGGGTGCATATGTACATTTATTAGAGTATAATAATATCGAAGGCATGATATTACTTTCTGAATTATCTAGAAGACGTATTAGGTCTATTAATAAATTGATTAGGGTAGGCAAAACTGAACCAGTTGTTGTTATAAGAGTAGATAAAGAGAAAGGTATATATATATATATATATATATATATAACATAGTATTATTAATATTTTAAATAAGTTATTTTGTATAATTTAAGAAATGTGTAATCTTGAATAGGTTATATCGATTTGAGTAAACGACGTGTATCGGCAGAGGATGTAGAAAAATGTACAGAAAGATACGCCAAAGCTAAAGCTGTAAACTCCATCTTAAGACATGTTGCTGAATTGCTACATTATGACAATGATGATCAATTAGAGGAACTCTATAAAAAAACAGCATGGCATTTTGAAGAAAAATATAAAAAACAGAAAGCTTCTGCTTATGATTTCTTTAAACAATCAGTACTGTAAGTTTGATCATAAATATTTAATATTATATTGAATTTTTCTTGATTGTTATAATAATATTTCTGAATATACTATTACTTTAGGGACCCCTCTATTTTAGCAGAATGTGGGCTTGATGAACATACAAAGGAAGTATTATTAAATAACATTAAAAGAAAATTGACTTCTCAAGCTGTTAAGATTAGGGCAGATGTAGAGGTTGCTTGTTATGGTTATGAAGGAATCGATGCAGTTAAAAGTGCTTTAAAAGCTGGATTGGCACTCTCTACAGAAGAACTTCCTATTAAAATTAACTTAATTGCTCCTCCTTTATATGGTATATATATATATATTTTTTTTTCCTAAAATATTTTTAATCTGTGTTCTTTTTTTATTCTTATTATTTTTTCTTATTATTATTATTATTATGAATATCATGAATTTCATTATACATATTAAATAATGTTTAGTCATGACAACATCAACACCAGAGAAACAGGATGGTTTGAAAGCATTAAGCGATGCTATTGAAGTTATACAAGAAAAAATAACATTCTTAGGAGGAGTATTTAATATTCAAATGGCTGTAAGATCTAATTTTATTATAATAAACTTGTATAAAAAATATTTTAATATTTTTAATAATAGGAAATTATAATTTTAGAAATATTAAAAAATTCAAATTTAATTCACAGCCAAAAGTTGTTACTGCTACTGATGAAGCAGAATTAGCAAGACAAATGGAACGAGCTGAGTTTGAAAACGCAGAAGTTGCTGGAGATGATGACGATGAAGAAGAAGCAGAAGGTATGGATGACTTCAGTGGTGGAGAAGGTGCAGAAGATGATAAAACAGGACATGAATCTACAGAAGAAGCTTGAATCCATAATTTTTTACCAATTCATAAATCCAATTAATAGACAAATATAACGTTTTTTATTACACTTCCCTTCTAAATAAAAATAGTTTTACTTTTATGGATATGAGATTCATATATCACTTTTTTAAGATTTAATACTCAATTATTAATTACCTTGCAATCTATTGCGCTATCTATACAGATACTAATTAAATATAGAATGATAAATTTTCTTTACTATTTTCTGATTAATAATAAATAAAATTTAATAATTACATATTACATTGGAATGAACTTCCATAGAAATATTTAATATTCATCTTTTAAAAAATAAATGATAAGATAAAACATTGATATAGATCATCATCAACGCATTCAGTTTTCACATTTTTATTAAAACTTTACACAGTGTCATTCAAACGATTTAATCATTTGCAATTGTAACTTCAACCTCTACACCAGGTTCAATAGAAATACTTGTTATCTGTTTAACAATTTCTGATGGAGAGTACAAATCGATAACTCTTTTATGTATTCGCATTTGGAAACGATCCCATGTTTTGGATCCTTCACCACAAGGAGTTTTACGAGTTGTAATTCTTAAAATCTTGGTAGGCATACGAACAGGTCCTTTGACCTTCAGCTTCTGTTTCTTGGCCCCATTAATTAGTTCCAAACATACTAAAATTTCCAAAAAAGAATTCATTTGTACATATACATTTTATACTGTGCATAGATATTCACATATATTTATGTAATATAGAAATATAAAAATCTACCTTTTTCAAGAGAACGAACATTACGAGAAGTAAGTGTAATCCTAATACGATGAATAGGAGCAATTTCTTGTCCTGGCTTTTCAGGATTATCTGTCTTGGTACTTGCCTACGAATAGAAAAGCAAACTTATCAATATTTTGTTTTAATATAACTGAATAAGTAAATTACAAAAACAAAAGAAAGAAAAAGTTTTTATTAAATTTAAAATAAACATTCAAATAATGCTTATACAAACGAACAAGATCATAAGCGTCTATACAATATACTGTACATCATAACCTTCAAATTACATTTTTCTATCTCAATTATAATAAACCAAATAATTATTATGTTTATATTATATGATTAAAACAAAGTTCAATATAAAATAATAACCTACCATTGTTTAAAACTTTTCCCTGGTCGAGATGATCAATTCATATACCTACAAACTGACCAGCGCTGAACCAGTTTACGTACACGTTGCACGTGTCGAGTCGGAAAAGAGAGATAAACGTTGTAGCAATTACCTATATACGAATATTGCACTTCGTGACAAAGTTAATAGATGACGCACATGTCGCCAAAGGATAAGAACATTTCAACTTACCGTCTAGTAAAAAAGTTAATTCGCGGGACACGCCATTTCTTTAGGTTCTAACGTTTATTGGATAAAGAGCTAAGGAGACGCGACAGATAAAGAAAACAAAGGTTGTATATTAAAGATTAAAAAGTTCTTAGACTTGTAATTTTATATTTTGAAAAAAAAATATTCCTAAAAAAGATTGTAAAAGAATAAATTGATTTTTAAAATCATTAGAAGACTTTTGGTCCACCTTGAATTAAAAATTCCAATATTACTTTATTGGTCAACCCATAATATAATATTAATAATAATAATAAATTTTATATTTATTTTATTAAGTTTGAAATTTAAAAATATTTTATTACATATTTATTTGAATTGTATGCTAGCATTTATGTAATATGATAGCATTTATTTAACATATTTGAATATAAGATTAGGTTAAATATTGTAGTTATAAAAAATATAATAATTACGTTTCCTTGTATCTATCATGATGTTAAATATCATATAGCGATCATTTGAATAAAAAATCAGTACGATAAAAGTTAAATTAATAAATATAACACTTTATTAATTTATAGTCCATTTTTTTTTAATAAAAATTCAAATTTCATACTGTCCGTTAGATAATGCTCTCTCTTCTGTATCTTTGATTCTATTTTATATCCTTAAAATATATTTTTATATATAGTTATATACATTGAAAATACTTCACTTTAAATTGTATTAATTACTCGTAATATGTTACATTGTAAATATTTATAACCTATATATAAATCATAATTTACGATAGTATTAAATTGATATACGAATTAACCAATAATTTTATGGGATCATCTATCGCGCGAAATTCTTGTAATACTATTCGTAATATCGAAACCGCCAAATCTGTATTATATCGCTAAATGGTGAAGATGTTAGATCGATTAACTTGAATTTGAAATACAAAAGTATCCAAGGATTGTAATTGGTGCGTTAGGTTGTCTTTAATTTATTCAACCAATCATCTTTCGTGCATCATAATATATTCGTCTTGTTGAAAAGCGATTCGGTCGTTGAGTCATATAAGTGTAACCATATGCAACTAACTTCAAACGTTCGGATTGCGCTGTCGCGTCCTTTGACACGCTTAACCGTTTAAGAAAACGATTTCGCCACTTTTTCGCTGACGTTTTGACTATTCTACGATGCCAAGTATTTACAGAAAATTCAGAAAATTACGTCGAAGACGACACGTTCGTACTTAGTAATAAAGATATCGTGAGTTAATTCTGAAAATTAAGTTTGTGCCGTGTGTTCATCAGCTACATTTGCTTTATTGATATTTTGAGTGTCATAGGACTTTTAGTGCCTATGCATATCTTGAGGTAAAAATATCATTAATATAATAATATATTTATCAATATTATATATATAATATTATGTAGTTTACCAATCGAACAAATTTTTTACATATAATATTGTTTATGCCGTCTGTTGTATACGTGCATAGAATCAGACATAACCTACAACATGTGAGATTTGTAATTATTCACTAAACAGATATTACTATCTACAGAATATCTGTGCGTCTACATATATATATATATATATGTGTGTGTGTGTGTGTGTGCGTGTGTGTGTGTGCGTGAAATTATTAAGAAATAATATATCATTAATTGTTTGAAATAATTTAACTGTTTTCTCTTGCTTTTAAATTAATTTATTTTATTTTATTTTTATGTTTGCCTTAATGTCATGAAATGAGTATTTAATGCAATTCGTATTGAATTTTCTATTAAGAAAAAAATTATTATTATTAATAAAGATTAAAGAATATATTTATTTGATAAAATATAAGAAAAAGTATATAAAAACTGAAGTATTTATATTTTCTTTATAAATATAATTACTTTACAGAATTTGGACCGTGTTCTAGATTACTTTTAAGAACAAATAGTTTCCTATACATAGTTGGATTACTTGAAAGACATTATGTCAGAAATTGTTTACCCTCAAGGGTGTAGATCTGTTACTGAAGATCTAGGCCCAGATGAATTGATCAGAAGGCTTAAGGTATATTATTATAAATAGTTTTCATTTTTCTAACAGATATGTTTTTAATTGTTATGATAAATATGTTGAGAATAACATATTACTTTATTGGGTATACAGACATTGGCTCATACATTACAAGCTATGGGTCAAGATGAAGGAATGTACCAACAATATATTCCCTTAGCTTTGCATTTGGCAGAAGAACATTTTTTAATGCATCAAAGTAAAGATGTTCAATTGTTAATTGCATGTTGTATTGCAGACGTACTAAGAGTTTATGCTCCTGAAGCACCTTATAAGGATGCAGATCAGGTACAAACATTTTGTATATTAATTGATCGGCATACTTTTATATTTCTTAAAAGGTCTAATGAAATATATCAATATCTTCACAATAATGTTTTTAGGTGAAAACAATATTTCTGTTTTTAATCAAACAACTAGCAGGTTTAAAAGATCCTAAAGATCCAGCTTTCAAAAGATATTTTTATCTTCTTGAAAATTTAGCATATGTCAAGTCCTTTAATATGTGTTTTGAACTTGAAGACTGTCAAGAAATTTTCTGTGCACTTTTCTCTCTTATGTTTAAAATAGTCAAGTAAGTTTCTTTTATTTTTCTCTTTTTCTTTTTTTGTTTTTTTTCTTTTCTTTTTCTTTAAGGATTACAAATATCACTTCGACTATTGTTTGATAGTTATATTAAATATAATTATTATTACTAATCTTTTTAGCGATGAACATTCTGGAAAAGTTAAAAGCTTTATGTTGGATGTTCTTTGTCCGCTTATTACTGAATCAGATATTGTCAGTAATGAATTATTGGATATTATACTTATGAATATAGTTGAACCAAACAAAACGCAAAAGAAGAATGCATATTTACTTGCTAAGGAATTAGTAATTAAATGCAGCGATACATTGGAACCATACATTCAAGCAGTAAGTGTGATATTTCTTTCTCTTTCTCTCTCTCTCTTTCTCTCTCTCTCTCTCTTTCTCTCTCTTTCTCTCTCTCTCTCTCTCTCTCTCTCTCTCTCTCTCTCTCTCTCTCTCTCTCTCTCTCTCTCTCTCTCTCCTCCCCCTCCCTGCCTCCCTCCGTCCCCCTTCTTTCTATAATATATTTTTTGTAATATATAATAATATAAAATTAAAAATCACAATATATTACAAATAAAATTATGATATAATATGAGAACATTCCAAATTCTATATGTTTACAGTTTTTTAATCATGTGTTAATCTTGGGAAAGGAAGAAAAAAGTTTACAAATTTGTAAAAAAGTTTACGACTTGATTTATGAGTTAAATCATATCTGTCCAAGCGTCTTGTTGTCCGTCCTTCCACAATTAGAATGTAAATTAAAATCTTCATCAGAAACAGAAAGATTAGGAGCAGTAGCATTATTGGCGAGAATGTTTTCTGAAAAGGGGTCTCAATTAGCTGTTCAACATACACAATTATGGAGAGCATTTTTGGGAAGATTTAATGACATAAGTGTTTCCATTCGTATTAAATGTGTCCAGTATTCAATGCATTTTTTATTAAATCATCCAGAACTTAGGAAGGATATAACTGATACATTAAAATTAAGACAACATGACGCTGATGAAAGTGTTAGATATGAAGTAGTTATGGCTATAGTAACAACTGCTAGGAGAGATTTTGAAGTTGTCTCAGACAGTGAAGATTTACTTGAATTTGTAAAAGAAAGAACTCTGGATAAGAAGGTATCATAATAAGTTACATATCAAACAATTAATAATTATATATAAATATATATATATATAATATGAGGTCTTTTATTTTTTTTTTTTTTAAATATAACTTATATTTTGTGTCGTTAGTTTAAAATTAGAAAAGAAGCAATGGCAGGTCTTGCTATGATATATAAGAAACATCTGAATGACTCAGATGTACCACAAGCTACAAAAAAGGCTGTTACTTGGATAAAAGACAAAATATTGCACGGTTATTATATGGCAAGTATGGAGGACAGATTATTGGTAGAAAGACTATTAAATACATGTTTAGTTCCCTATCAGTTACCAGCAGAGGAAAGAATGAAAAAGTTATACCATTTACTTGGTACAATAGATGATCATGCATCTAAAGCTTTTGTGGAATTGCAAAAACATCAACTTGCGTGAGTAAAATTATACATGGTATTATATGTATATATAGTTTTTCATTTTCATCTGTTATTATTGTATCATGTAAGTATTATATTATATAACAAGAAATATGTATATATTATATTGATAAACTGATGTCGATCAATGTTTATCAAATGATATAATTTGTGCATTGTAGGGTACGAAGGGCTGTTGTCGAGTGGCTAGAAATTATAAAACGACCAGAAGCTACAAACGAGTTAATGACAAAAATTCATCAAATTTCACGTTTTTTACCTGATCCCATGAAAGTACAGGAATTTTTACAAAAATTTAATGGACATATGAAGAAAGATTCAGCATTATTACAAGGCATGGAAACAATTGTTCAACCTAATGTTTCCTGTAAAGAGTGTGCTGATACAATAAGTTTAGTTTTGAAAAAATTGGGTCAACCAGTAATGACAAACTTATATTATAATACAATAAAGATGTTATTGGAAAGAGTGAGCTCTGTTATGATTGATGAAGAAGCAATCAGGGTGAGTAGAATATTATATAATTTATGATTATATATATATATATATTTTTTTATTTATAGATTATTTAGAATGCAATATAATATATCAAAATTTTACAGGTTTTAATAGGATATGTATTAGATTGTTTAAAGGGAGGTAATGTAATTGAAGAAGTTGGTTTGAATCCAAATAATGCCGGAGAAAAGGGGTTAAGACTGCTAGTTGTAAGTTAATTTTTTTATGTAATTTTATTCCGTTTTAACTATGTGATTATAAGATTATAGATACGAAATAGTGCATATCTATATGTTTAATTTTTTATTTAAAGTACTTAAACAGTATATGAATTGAAAAACTGTAACAAGATAATAACTTTAAATCTTCTAATAATAATATGATAATTTTGCATTTTCAGATGTTGTCTTTCGTATTTGGCCCACATTTTCTTCATAATGATATTTTAATGCAATTGGTACATCTTTTAGAATTAGAGGATGAGATGGTAGGACCACTTGTCCTATCAATCTTTACATTTTTAGGAAAATACAAACCTTTATGCGAGGTAGCACCTGATATTATGAATCTTATGGTACCAATTTGCAAAAACTTTGCTGAAACAGGGACTCCAAAACAAGCGAAACAAGCTGTTAGGTGTTTGTTTGTTAATATGACCAATATTCACGATAAAATTTTTCCAGAAATCATTGAAAGAATTAAAATGACATTAACACCCACATCAGAATTTTATCGAACTTCTATAGTTACATTAGGTCATATAGCATATAATTTGCCAGATAAATATCAAGTACAAATAAAAAATATGGTATCAAGAAAAGTATGTACATATATATATATATATACATTCATACATACACATACACATAGATATAATCATATTTATTAAATAGTTTAAAAATGTAGTCAATTTTTATATTTAATATATGATCTTATAGATTGTTAAAGAATTGCTTGTAAAAGAAAGCAGTGAACAAACAGCTGATACCATTGAAGGAGAATGGTGCCGTGAAGATCAGCTTCCTGAAGAAACACGTTGCCGATTAGAAGGTTTGAAGTGCATGGCACGTTGGTTATTGGGTTTGAAAACTGACGTTTTGTCTGCACAGAAAACGTTTAGGATGTTGAATGCATTTGTTGTAAATAAGGGTGACCTTTTGCAACAAGGACGTTTAAGTAAAGCTGAGATGAGTTGGTTACGTTTACAGGCTGGTTGTTCAATGTTAAAAATTTGTGAACAGAAAGGAGTTGGCGATCAATTTACAGCAGAACAATTTTATAATCTTTCTCAACTTATGGTGGTACGTACATTGTTTTACATGGATCTGATATTTCAGTATAAATGTTTGTACAAAATTGTTTTTTTTTTCTTTCTTTCCTTTTTTTTTTTTATTTTATTTTATTTTATTTTTTTATTTTTCTAGGATGAAGTTCCTCAAGTTAGGGAAGCCTTTGGTAGTAAATTACATAAAGGACTTGGTAGAGGAATACCAAACAAATGTTTACCATTAGACTTTATGGGATATTATGCTTTGGCAGGCAAAGAACAAGATAAAAGATTGAAATGTTTATTGAAAACATATATGCAAACTGATATAAACAAAAGAAGGGATTACGTTAAAACGTTGTCGTTGGGTACTGTAGAACGGGCCATGGGTAAGAAACTAAATAGTAAGCTAATGTCTTACATCAATTGATAGTTCTGATAAAATTCCAAATAATTATATGACAAATAAATTGATATTTGTGCTTTTAGGTCAACTACCACATATTTTGCCTGATTATATGCTAGTTTTTGCAGTTCCCATTCTAGCACATGATCCTGAATTTACAAGTCATCTAATAATTAGTCAGTTAAAAGTCATACAACAATGTTTATGGTTTATACTTGAGCCACTCATCACAAAGAATGAATATTATTGTTATGGATTTTATAAAAACCTTATAGAGCGAATGAAAAGTCATAAAGATGCATTGAAACCTGAAGACAACAATATGAATTATGTAATTATCTGATTAAATTCATCATTTATTTTTATTCACCATTTATCTATTTATTTTATTAATTATTAACTAATTCATTCCATACAGAAATTATGGGCAGTATGTGATTTAGCTATGAACGTGATATACACTAAGACAACTAATTTTGATATGAAAGAATTTCCAAGTGAAACACGCATACCTACAATGTATTTTAAACGAACGGATGAGTTAGCTAATACAAAAAATTACCTACCAGCAGAAATGCAAATAAATATGACCAATACTAAGGGAAAAGGTTCATTACATAATGTACACGCAGTAAGCGAAAGACCACAACGTAGAGCTAAATCTAAACAACAAAAAGAAGTTGGCATTGGTCCGAATGAAACAGATGCAAGGGTAAGAATTAAATAATTTTTTACATAACTTAAAATGTTGTTAGACTGTAATCTATTAGTATTATATTTTAAATAATAAAAATATAAAAAGTATTTGTTAAATCTACTATCCGTACTATGATTTCAAGCTGCAAATTGGAGAAGTTGAATGCATTGATGCACAGGTAAAAATAATATACAAATTAAATAATAAGGTCATATTATAGTTTCTATAATATTTCTATCTTTAATAATTTTTTTTATAATTTTATACATTAGTTATATTTTTACAGCCTGCTGAAGCGTCCGAGACTAGAATTCAATTACCTGGTTTGGAAGAGGAAGTAAGTTAATAATTCTATTGTTCATTTTTCTTTTCTTTTTTTTTTCTTTTCTTTTTTTTCTTTTCTTTTTTTTTTTCTTTTTTTTTTTTTTTTTTTTTTTTTTCTTTTTCTTTATGTTCATATTTAATGTATTATTTTCAGATTGAAGAGCCACCTGCAAAAAGGGCATTGAGAGAGTCAGATAAAGTAAATAAGTAATTAAGTGATTGAACTCTGTAATCAAGGGGGGGGGGAAGGTGACTGGAGATCGGGAAAAGACTTAAGAAGCGCGATGATACTATAAGAATTAAAGAATCTAAAAATACTTTACAAATTAGAATACAGAATATTTTGGTTATGTACAACAATTAATAAACCTAAGTCGTTCGCGTATTTTTAGATTATAAGGTGTTACGATTATGACACATTAACTTCAAATTATTAATACACGTAGGCTTATGATTCAGAGACTTCTCTGGACTTACAACCTATGACTAAAAAGAAGAATATTCATTAGTTCGTTGGACATGTGGCTCACCAAGTGTGTTTGATTGTTCATATGGATGGAATGCATATATGTCTTAGATACTGTTTCTTTTACAGACCGATAAAAAAAAAAAAAAAAAAAAAAAAAAAAAGAAAAAAGAAAAAAAAAATATCAAAGAATCGATCGTAAACTAGAATTATTGTTTAAGATGGCTATGTTCATTTTGACACTTTTTATAAAACGTGTAAAACTGTATCTAAGTTAACATTTTTTCTTCCTTGAAAGGTGATACCTGATAATTGTTGTTTTGTTCACTTCAAGAGTTTATTAATGAAAATAACGATGGAAAGTTTGTGTGATGTTATACATTTAAAAGTATACTGCACAATTCTCAAAGATATTAAGTAATAAATAAATATGTGCAAAAAAAGATTTTTAAAAATCGACATCATATTTGACAGATATTCATAAATACATTAAGCATTTATAAACTTATGAACTCTGTAAGTTTTCATACATATGCACATGTATATTTAATTACAAATTTGTAAATGGAAGAGAACAATACAACTTTGTTGGGTTAATGTAAATGATATATTTTATGGATGAATTGGCTTTGTGATCCAAAGTTGTGTTTGTTTCTTTTATTATGTTTATCTTCTTTTATTATGTCTCTTTATTTTTATTGTAATTATTATCATCATTATAGTTACTTTAATAAGCAGAATTTTATTGTATAGGTAAATTGGTGAGACATTTTTTTCGTTTTTATTTTTTTTTTTTTTTTTTTTTTTTTTTTTTTTTTTTTTTCAAATGAAATATTTACTGCCACGTGAAATATATTTAATTTCTCTTATTCGTTCATTTTAAAAGTAATATAATTGGAAAAATGTTAAGTAAGCTATTCATATAATATAGGAACAACAGAAATTTATTTTCTAACTTATTTTATGCAGATCTTTAATAAATATTCATAAATTCTTTGGTGCACAGTATTTCTAAATTATTAAAAAGGAAAATAAGAATATTGCAATATAAATAGAACAAAAACGACAATACAATATAAAAAGGTTTATTGACTACAAAAATAATTTAATAATTTTCTTAAAAAGGAACAGTTATTATCTCTCCATTAATACGTGATTGCTGGTATACATGCATTTTGAAACATTTCTATTTAATTCAAGTTTGTATCCAAAACTTTTCTGTACCTGTTGTAAATTTAATGTCAATGAATTTTCTAATATTGCAGGGCAGAATACTTCAAAAATTACTTTTAATATTTTTACTCACGGTCTATTTTTCATAACAGTATCAATTTTTTAATACATGTTTACTATAAAGAAAAACCATATTCATTAAATATAATTAAATCTCCATGCTGAAGCATCAAGTATACTGAATTTGAATAAGTATGTCATGTATATTACTCTTTATCTTGACATTAACATTTTGCTAAGTAAACTATTTCATTTTCAGGTTTTCTATATTTATAAAAATTCACTAGCAAGTTTATACCTCAGTGATAATATAGACTCCTGTTTATAAATATGTAAATTATAGCATAATTATATATAAACGTAATTTAACTCTAGTGTGATTATATACCTTTCACATGCTCACTGTAATTCAAGAGCATGTGCCAGGTAATTATCATCACTACTACTATTTTTATTATCATACAAACTTTTTTATCACACATTAAATATTAATGTGTAATCAAGAAAAATAAATGTTCCAGAGATTGAAAACTAATTTAGTTTTTATATTTACAAATAAGTGTATTGCCTATGTATTGAAGCGTTTTTTGTGTTATGTATTATTTATATCTGGACTATTCTAAATATTAATTCTTATTTAATATTCATAAATATATAACAAGTATTTGATTTTATTAATCATTAAACAGAAAAGAGATTTGGGTACGAATTTGAATAAAATTCGAAGAATTTAAATTTGGCCTATATCTCCGGAAGTTTCTTTTTCTTCTTGTGATGATCATTTATTACAGGTAGAACTGCATATAGTGTGCATGTTATTGTAAGTAATGATGGATGATTGAGATTATTATACTAATATACTCGAATTCACACGGATTACAGTACAGGAAGAGTTCTAATGTTACATTTCTTCTGCAAATTATAAATTCGCATTTTAGGGTAATATTAATTACAATAATTATATTAAATATTATTTTATACGCCATTAATGATAAACCATACATTTCAAGTATAACTTAGGCTTTTTAATCAAATATATTTGAGGGTATTGCTTTTATTGTAAACTTGTGGATGTATATCGATAACTATTTCATATCACAATATATCAACACAAGTTTCTTTGAAGTTATAGTCTTGCAATTGATGTAGATATAATTTTTAAAGATGTTTTATTTCATAATAGATACATATCTATATTAAATTTTTTGATCACCAAAATAATTTGTACGCTCATCTTTAACCACAGATCTTATATAAGTTAATATTACTTTCTTAGGTGCTGTAATATCTTCAATATAATGATGCATAGTACTGCAGTTTTTACAAAAAATGGTCATACATTATCCATACATACTGATCAAAAACCAATTAAAATAATCAGTGCTATTCATCTGTCAATTTGTGACATAACTAAAGTATTGTAATGATTATATAATAAAATAAATAATTAAAAGTGACATATGTGTTTTTTAATTTTATTAATACAATATTATTATTACAAATATATTTACAATTTAACGTGTCCTTAATTTTTTCTTTTGATTTTTTCCTCCAAGAACATTTGATTTTCGTGCCAATGGATTAGATTTTTGTTTCTTATTTGCTCTGAAAAATATAAATATTGTAATTTTAGTTTCTCTATATTTTTATATACATATTGTTATATAAATATATGTAAATATGTAGTTTACTTACTCATAACGCATTCTTTTTACATTTTTATTGCTAGTATCTGTCAAATCATCAGCAAATGAAGATCGTGATCGTTTTTTGGATCCTGTGGAACAAAGGAACAAATGTCTTAAGTTATATTATATACAGAATGTTTTAAGTTATTTTATATATAGATATAAATTAAACAACATTTTTACGAATGGAAATTTGATTGATAATAAAACTCTATACCTTTATTATTCACATTATATCCACTTTTATCTACAACAGTTCTAATTTTTTTTGCTTTAGATTTTTGTTTAGCTATTCTTGCTTGATACGCTGCTATCTTCTCTAACTCTTTGTTCGCTCTATCTTCGGCTGTTTCTTTATGTTGTTCTTTTTTCGCATTTTTTTTCTTTTCTTCTACTACATTGGAAAATTCTTTTTCCTCTTTATTTTTTTTCTTACGTGGTTGTTTCGTCGTTAAAGACAATTTTTCTAAAATATAAAAATTTTTCTATAATAAACTGTGTTCATTATAATTATACTTTCATTAAAGCAAAAAGAAAAATTCAAATTACCTTTCTCACGTTTCCTTTCCTTAGCACTTTGAAACCAACTTCTATGATTCTTGTCGTCTGAACCTTTAAGTAAATTTTCAGCGCGATTTGCTTGATTTTCTATTTTGGCAAGTTCCCTTTCGTTCTTCTCTTCTTGTAATATTCTTTCCATATCAGGTTCTAAAGATTGTAATTTTTTATTATATTTGTCTATTATATCCGGAGGTATTATCCTATTTTTTACAGGATTCTTCGCTTGTTTAATAATTTCTTTCACTAAACCACGTTCTTGTTCACCAGCTAATGATACTGATACTCCTCCACGACCTGCTCTGGCTGTTCTTCCGACTCTACAATTTTTAATTTTAATTTTTAATAGAAATTAGAAATGCAGTATATGTCTCTAAAATTGTTAAATGTTATACCTATGGATATAATGTTTTATGGTAACAGGCATTACAAAATTAATTACTGTTTTCACACCGCTTATATCTAATCCTCTAGCTGCAACATCGGTTGCTAACAGAATATCTATTTCTTCTTCTTTGAATTTTCTTAAATTTTCTAATCTTTGAGGTTGTGTAAGATTGCCATGAAGTTCTCCAACCTGATTAGATACCAGAAGAAAGTTTTTAAATTGGAAAATTTTTATATATATATTTTTTTTGTAAAAAAAAAATAGTTTTCAATTTAGTACTGAAACATGCTTACTTTTATGCCTAATAATCCTAATAAAATATGTAATCGATGAGCTTGTTTTTTAGTTTGTACAAAAACCATAGTGTGATCATGAAATGTCCTACAAATTAAAGCTGCTAATATTGCTTCACGATCACCTTCTCTTTCTTTGCGTATTCTGTAATATAAGTTAGTTGTTTACGTATATATGTATGTATATATAGAAAATAATAAAACTATTTACCTAATAAATTCTTGTCGTAAATTAAATGCAACTTCTTGATTACTGTCCACAAATACTTTCACAGGTTTGTCTAACGACATAGTAGCCAGATCTTTAACTTCCTCTGTCATAGTGGCTGAGAATAAAATAGTTTGTCTGTTTCTTGAACATTGCTTTATAATATGCTTCATTTGTTCAGCAAAATATTCATCCAACATTCTAAAAGCAATATATATATATATATATAATTTTAAATTAAGTAAATAACAAAAAATATCTTTTAAATGTAGAACAATATATTTTATTTTTTAAATACCTGTCTGCTTCATCTAAAATAAGCACTTCTATGCTATCCAAAGAAAAAGTTGGTGTATTTGTTAAATGATCAATCAATCTTCCAGGAGTTGCAATTACAATATCTGGATTTTTTCGCAATACAGTTTCCTAATTGAACATGTAGTATATTATATAATATATATTTATTATATTTAACTTGTTTATTTACTATGTTAAATATATATATATACATTATACAATATAATTTACTTACTTGAATTTTTACATCTAATCCACCAACAGATAATCCTATTTCGATTGTCGTAAATTGTGATAATTGTTTTGTAACTTGATATACTTGAACTCCAAGTTCTCTTGTTGGTACAAGTACTAAAACTCGTGAAATAGCAGGACCATTCAAAGGTCTGTACAATAATCTTTCTAAAGTTGGTAGCATATAAGCTGCAGTTTTCCCAGTACCTGTTGCTGCACAACCACATATATCACGTCCCATTAAAGCAAATGGTATTGTAGCTGCTTGAATAGGTGTTGGATGGACAAAATTCATTGTCGTTATTGCCTGTAATAATAATGAAATCATTCTTCCATTTTCATTCTATATATAAATACAATTATTAATTTTTAAATATTTATATTCTATACCTTTAATAAGGGTCTAGATAAATTCATTTGTTGAAAAGACACATAAGAATCGACATTTGTAAATTCTTCAAAATTAATTGTTTCTTCATTCTGTTCTTTAGTAGTGTCTTTCCTTTTACCTTTCCTCTGTTTGGTTTTAAATGCATCTAGCAAAATAGGAATTACTTTTTATTCTTTTTTATTACTTTTTATTACTTTTTTTTTTCTTTTAAATAAGGATTACTTTTCATTCTTTATATAAAAACAAAATTTTTATTTTATTTACCTTTTTTGAGTTCATCCTCAGACAACGAAAACTCATTATCTTCTTCATAAATTTCTGTTTTATTTTTGTTATCATTATCATTGATATTTCCATTCTGAGAGAAAAACAATAATATAAATATGTTTCTAAACCTATTTACTTTTTCATTCTATATACCTCTGTTTCCTTTTGTTTCCTAATACTGTTTATTTTATCATCTAATTTACTTTTAGCTTTTCTTTTAATATATTTATTTAAATCATTCCAGGTATCTTGATTGTATTCAGAAGTATTATTTACAAATTCAAAATCCATAGCAAAGTCCTTTTTCTCTTGCTTTTTTTGTTTGCGAGGCTGAAACTATTAAAAAGATTAAAATATTTAAAAAAATAGAAAATTATATTGTAAAGAATTTAATTCTTAATACATATAAAATGTATATATATTAATACATATGAAAGACAAATGTAAAATAACAAATCGTTACAAACTTACATCATCTTCTTCGTCTGATTTCTCTGAAAAATCTGGCACTTCTTCGTCATCTTCTATAGTTTTTATTAAATCACAATTGAATACCATTTTGTTTTTTTTTTCTTTTTTTATAAATTAAATTCAAATCAGTATAATTGAGGTTATGAGATGTATAAAAACACGTGGATATAAAGGTATATAAAAATATACATAAAAAAATTATTAACAGATATATTTATATATAGGAGGTATTCAAATATTATAAAAACCTTAAGAAATACATAATAGGAATTAAATTTTTTAAAAATTAGAATAAATAAAGTAAGTCATTTAAAGTATACGTTCGTTACCTTCTTGTTCGAAACGTGTGTGACTTCAGCGCCAGATAGACAAAATATGAACTACAAGCGTTTAATAATTGCTATATGAAATTTACGTAGTTATATTTTTTTTATATGGTGAAAGTAAATAATTATAGGTTAAACTTTTCAGTTTCTCATATTAATATATTTCTTTAATCTTATAGGATGTATATATATATATATATATATATATATATATATATATATATATATATATATATAGAGAGAGAGAGAGAGAGAGAGAGAAATATATCGAGATAAGTAGTATATTCTACTCCTTTTTATCGTTATTTTTATTATTATATTATATTAGTACTAACGAAAAGAAACCTATTATTTTACATAGTACTATTTGAAGTTAGTTTATGCCTAAGCACAGTACAATAAGCATCTTCGTGAATTTTTTATTTCATGGTTCTATTGTTTAACTTTTTATCTTTTGTACAATAAATATGATTTTATTATTAAAAATAAAATATCCAGACCTAGAGGAGACAAAACTAATGTTGGACATTGTATATTAGTCTTTTACAATGAGTGTTTCAAATGCCATAAAGGCTACTAAAATTAATGATCAAGTTGTAACAATTAACATTTAACAATTTATGATCAAGTTGTAACAATTAACATATATCAATTTTGAGTATTGAAAATTTTAATTGGGCATTAGAGATTTAAAAGATATCCCTAAAAGGAAGATCTTCAAATTTCGATGATGATATTCTAAAATCCCTCATTGAATCAGATCCACGATTAATCATTGAAGAATTATCAGAGAGTAATGACTTGGCGGCCCACAGTACAAGAACACTTAAAACGCATCGGGAAAATGAATAGAATGGATATTTGGGTGCTGCATGAATTGTAATGCGTATTTTCAGGCATTTAAAATGATTCAAGATAAAATTCAGGAACTGAATTGGGAGATTTTCATCACACTCTTCATATTCGCCGTACATCGTTTATTTGAATTACCATCTCTTCAGATGAATGGAACACAGAGTTTAAGGAACAAACAATTTCGTTAACGAAATAAGAAATTTGAATGCGTTCTTTGATCCCAAATCAGTTAATTTTTATGAAAAGTGCTTAAAAAGACTTAAAAAAAAACATTGGGATACAATTGTAAATAATGAAGAAAATAACATTTTATAATATTCTGTAAAAAAAAAAAAAAAAAAAAAAAAAAATTAAGAAAAAATAAACTTTTATATTGTTCTATTCCATAGATAGAATGGAAACGAGCTCGTCTTTTAATTTTATTTGTATGTATTTATTAATTATTATTTTTTGAAAGATCACATAAGAGATTTTTAAATGT